AAAAAAAAAAAAAAAACTATAGAAAAAAAAAAATAATGTTAAATTAAAAAAAATAAATTCTAGAATTAAATTCAAATTTTAAATATATATATATATATATATATATATATATATATATATAAAAAAAAACGAAAAAAGAAAAAAAATAAAATAAATTATGAACAAAGATAAAGAAAACACATTAGATAAAGAAAACACATTATAAAATTATAAAATAAATAATAAATTAAAAACAAAAGATAAAAGATAATAATTATATTCGACTTCAATAAATAAATCATAAATAACATCGTAAATTTAATTAAATAAGCAAAAAAATGATCAAAATAATGGATGTTAATTAAGTATTTTATCAAAAAATACAAAATTATGTAATAAAGTAAAAAAAGTAATTAATATTTAACAAATAAACTATAAGTAATAACTTCAATATTATATGTAATAAACAAATAACTTATAATTAAATAATGCAATATAAGAAATGTTAAATTAAAATGCTAAATTAGAAAATTAAGTTTAAAGCTTATTAAAAGCATAGTTTAAATAATAAAAAATAATAGAATTTTTATCTATTTCAAATTTATAAAAAGAAAAAGTTTATTAATCTGTAATTGTTTAAAATGTAAATTATTAAATGAAATGTTAAGACTTTTAAAAATAAAACCAATAATTAAAAGATTATAAAACTAAAAATGAGAATTATAATTCAAATGGATCTAATTAAACATAAACAAATTCTTAATTTCCATAAATTATTAAAAGTAAGAAAATCAAATGTGATGAAAGCGATAAATCGTTTCGAACGAATAAAAATAATTAGAATTCTTTTTGTAATTTAAGTTAAGTTAGTACTCCTAATAATGCCAAAACCTCAAAAGATAAACGAAAAAAGTCCTTTTTTTAGAATAAAAGTTAATTTTATAGTAATAATGTGTAAATAAAGAATAATAATAGGTAGTAATATTTATAGCATACAGTTGAAAATGAATATATAAGCTAAATTTTAGATTTAGAAAAAAACAATGAAGAAATAATAAATTTTTTTAAAGTTAAAATTATTTTCAGTTTTTTAAAAATATTTTAAACAACGAGAAGTGTTTTTAAGATTTTATAGAAAATATTTAACTTTAGAAATAACAATTATTCGAAAACGGAAATTTATTTAAAAATTAATTATAAATTTAGCTTAATTTATTATTGAAAATTAAATAAATTATACTTTCGATTTTTAAAATTAATAATAAAACTGACTTCAATAATCCTTTTTATCCTTTGTCTACTGAATGCTCTAAAATACTTAATTGTGATAGAACTAATATTTATTTAATTGATTTTAAAACTTAAGAATTATGGACTTAAAATCAGATAACATCTGAAATTATTAGATTACCAATTAATTTTAGTATATATTTACATTTTTTAAAGTAAGTAATTATATATTTAAATTAATATTAGGTGTACCAGGATGTGTAATCAAAAATAATGAAATTTTAAATATCTTAGATGCTAAAATCGACTAAAGATTTGATAAAACTCTTGACTAATAAAATAATTATAATACAAAAACAATACTATGTATTCCAATAATAAGTACAGAAGAAAACAGAATAATAGGTAAAAATAATAATAAAATTTTACATAAAATATATATTTATATATATATAAATAGGAGTTATAGAAGCAATAAATAAAAAAGAGTAGTTTTTTTTACAAAAGATGATGAATGTTTTTTGAAAGTATTTTCATATATATTTTCAAATGTATTAAAAATGTGTACCTTTAATGAAAACTCAAATGAAAATAAAAATTTTCTTAGATTTTTATTTAAATTTTCATTAGATATGTTAGATTGTTCAGATATTAATACTTTATTTTAGTCTTCTTATTTTTTTTAAATAACCAACTTCATGTTCCTTTATCGAAAATATTCCTTAAAAATAATAATAATAAACTCTATTCGATACAAAATAAAAACTTCTAATTTTATGAGTCTAATATAGGTATTGTAGGCTAAGTATTTTAATCTAAATAATTTAGGTTGGATAATAATTTTTCTTAAAATACTGATTTTAATCCAATTATTGATCTGAATACTTAATTGCCTGTTTTAACTATTCCTATTTTAGATGAAGGAAAAAATTCGAATTGTGTTGGAGTTATATAAGCAGTTAATAGTAGAGGAATAAATAGCTTTTTAAACGATAATAATATTAAATCAGTATTTTAATATGATATATATTATAATTTAATAGATTTTCTTAAAGTTTTTTCTAAAATATATTTAAGATTGTAGGATAAAATTTGAAAAAAATAAATAAAAAAAATATTAAATTTTTATACATATAAACATATATGCTTATATTTTTGTTTTTTAATTATATAATTTTCTATTTATTAAGATAATATTTATTTTTAAATTAAAAAAATGAAATTAAAAAGAAATAATTCAATTCAAAACTCAATAACAGGATTTTAAAAAGATAAGTAATGTTTTTTGTTAAATTTAAGAGTGATAAAAAATATAAAATTATTAAAAAAACAAAAAAAAGATTCGAAGAGAATATTGAAGTTGTAGCTTTAAAAATACCAATGGAAAGATGCAATGAATTTTTAGTTAAATTATCAAAGTAAAATTGATTTATTTTAAATATAAAATTTAATAATAAGATATTTAATAAATGAATCAGGATCATAATAAATAATTAAAGAATAAGAAAAGACAAATTTTAAAACACGTTTAATTTTATTAAATAGGAATATAAATGAAAGTATTTATTATATAAAAATGTTATAATTATTATAAATATTAAAAAGATTTAGATTAAATTCCAAAAGAATTAAAAGAATGGATATTTTAATAAAAAGAAATATAAATAATAAAACATAGTTTTAAAAAAGATTATAGTACATACGATTAAGAAGAATGTATATTAAAAATAATAGAGGAAATATCTAATTATAATGAAATTAAAGAAGAAAGTTTAAAATAATTCAAAATTATAGAACTTTAAAATTAATAATTATAAGAAAACAAGAAAATGATTGCAGAAATATTATATGATAAATCTTAATAAAATATAAAAACAATTATAGAAAGGAAAATAATTTAAAATAAATATTTTTTAGAATAATAATTATATTATTTATTTGGTGAGAAAGAAATGAATTTGTAAATAAACGAAGGATTTTGCAAATTCAATATAAATCTAAATTATTATTCTGTAAATAATTTCCTTTAATAAGAAAGAAATAAAATAATAATAGAAACAAATTATAATAACTAAATACTAGATTTATTCGGAGATTTAATTTTAGATATAAGATTACTAAAAGAAAAAAACTAAATATTGTAGTTAATATTGATTCTAATATAAAGCTAAAAGAATAATTTGATATTAATTTATAATAAAATAATAATGAAGATATTTAAATAAAAAAAGTAAATATAAAAATATAATATATATCTATAATAATATAAAAATAATATATATGTATATATTTACATAAATAATATTTAGATAAATATATAGATAATTATTTTTTTATTTATTTTAATATAAATTTTAGATATATATATATTTATATTCTTATATAAATTTTATTTATATTTTCTTTTTATTTTTTTTAAAATATCAAATTAAAGGGAAATCTTTGAATAATACATTTCTTAATTAAAAATCTGGGAATATATAAATTTTCAATTAGAATATTTTTTAATTTTTAAATTCAGCTTTTTCGTAAAAGTATTTTAATTAATTATTTACTCATATTATTATTTCTAAGTATATTCTTGATTTGTCATTTATAGGTATATTATTTTATATTTTATTTAAAACTTATAAATTTATGTAAAATAAAACTTTAAGGTATTTTTATTGGATTATTTACAAATAATGAATAAATTCTTTAAGATTATAAGAGTCAAAATTTTAAGTTAATTATATAATTTTATTATTTGGTAGATGAAAGTGTTTAAAATAATATTTCTATAATAGAAGAACTTAATAATGCTGCAAAATAAATTTTAAATGATGATAAAGTTGAAATATTTGAATTAAGTGATATAAATTGTGGACAAATTCTGAATTAAAAGATAAATAAATAGAAATTATTAAGCGTTAATATTACAATATAATCAAAAGTTCTAAATTACTAAAAAAAAGTTTTAGATATTATTGAAAAACGTTATGTTTGCAACAAATAGGATCTTTTAGTAAATATAATAAAAAACATATATTCGAATTATTTTATTTAATATTTTTAAAGTAATTTGAACTAAGTGAAAATAAAAAAGTTAAAACATGCAATTGATTTAATATATTTATTTAAAAAAAAAATGTAATTAATAAAAATAAATTTTGTACAAATAAATTAGAAAAAAGAAATATATATAATAATAAATAAAATAAAATTAAAAATATAATTATATATATAATTTTAACATAATCATTTTTATTATTAAAATATAAATAAAATTAGCTTTAATTTATCAAAAAATGGTGCATCCTATACAATTTTTAAATAATCCCATTTTATTCTAAATAGCTTATTTTTCAAATGTTTCGTATTATATTTCATTTTTTTATCTTTAGAGTATTTGTTTTGTTGAATAAATACATGAATTTATTTATTATTATAAAAAAAAGTAAACTATTATTATTTATTTCTTATTATAAATATTGATCATAAGGATAATATAAATTACTTTCTACTCCATATTCTTTAAGAAGTTATTTAGAATTAAAAACTTCGTTTAGTTGTTCTTTATTAACAAAGTTAATTTCGCTTCTAAAATTATAGAATAAAAAGGTTTTAAAACATCATAATCAAACCTAAATAGATTCGAATATATTTAATATAAAGCGTTTGAGGATAATTATTAGAAAAGAAAGCTTTTCGTTTAATTTTACATTAATTAAAATAAACCATTTTTAATTAATTTCTATATATTATATTTTTTTAAATCTAATATAATAACTATTCTATTAATATTTATTTTTAAGTTAAAAATATTAATATATTCACAAATAAAAAAGAATTTATATATTTTTTATAGTAATTTGTAAGACTATTAAATAAATAAAAATATTAAAATTATTACATGTGTATTTATTATTAAATTTTTAAACTTAAATTGTATAAATTCATAATAATAAAAAAAAATAAAAAATGAATTATCAAAATTATAGATTTTCATTATAAAATCTATATAACATATAAATTAAGTCAAATTCATTTCAAAAGAAATAAAAAATATAAGTTAAAAAGATTACGCTTTATTTTAGTAAATTAATATCGATTAACAAAATAAAATAATTAATAAATAAATTAGCGAAACATTTTAATCTCTTTAATTTAAAAATAAATCAATGAAGATTAACAGTTTTTTAAAAAATATAATGACTAGATGATAAGACCTACATATATTTAAAGTAAAAATATTATTCATAAGGAGTGAAAAATAAGATCGGCTAAAATTAACATTAAAATTAATAAATACATACTAAAAATATATTTTTCCTTACTTTTCAAATATTATTAATGATTTAATTATCAATTCTTTATTTAATCAATTTCTAAATATTTAATTTTAATAAACTCAAGTAGCTATTATAAAAAACTAAGCTAGATTTAGTTATAATATATAGATTTTTTGTTAAAAAAAGAAATTTTATATTTTTTAATAAAATTAAAAAAAATTGATTGTTATATTTTCTATTATTTTTATTTTAAACTATTTGATTTGAAAAAAAAAAAAATTACTTAAATTTTATTAATATTATTACTAATACTTTTTTAAGTAAAATTATATAATTAAGCTTAATTTTTTTTCTAACTTTTTATTAATTTTATTAATAAAGGCAAAATATTAAAAAAATATATTTTTAATTAAAAAAAAAAATGCAGTTTAATTGTTTATTTTTTCCAGCACCTGATGTAGAATATAATTCTTTACATATAAATGCAAATAAAAAAATTAAATGAATAAATATTTATAAATTTTAAATAATTAAATAAATTAAATAGGGATAATTAATATGGATTCCATCTATTGATCATAAAAAATTGTTAGAAAGTTATAAAAACAACAAATTATAATTTAATAAAAAGATAGATTTAAAAATTGGAAATACATTCAAAATAGAGAAACCAAATTCTTGTAAATATTAATTAAATGAATCATGTGATATGGAAGAATAAGTATAATATTAATAAAAAAATATATTCAAAATTAATACATATAATAAAGTATATGAAAGAAAAATAATAAGAATTATCATTAAGTAATACATTATCTAATTATTCTACAAAAGACTTCGTAAACTCATTTTTTAAATAAAGAGATACACATTCGATCTAAGAAAATTCTTTAATTGAAGAAAATAATTCATAGATAAATACATAATTTAATTTATAAGATGAAAATACGTTATCAATAAATACATAATCTTTTAGAGTTAATAAAAAAATATTTAATAGTTATTAGAATGTATTATAATTTTAATAAAAAGAACCGTTTTCATAAAATTAATAATAATAAATCCAATAAATTAATATTAAATAATTCATGTTAGATAATAAATATATACCAGCAAATTTATTATAAAGTTATAATCAAAATACTTAATATATATTACTTTATTTTCATTCAAACGGAGAAGATTCTATTTTATGTTATAATTTTACTAATCATATTAGATCTTAACTTGATGTATTTTTTTAGTATTATTTTATTTTATTGTTAACAAAAAAAAGATACATATTATTGCAGTTGAATATCCTGGTTATGGATTTTATAAAGGAGCACCTAATTCAGAATAAATTAATGAAGACTCATTATAAATATTTGATTTTTTAATTAATTGTATGAAAATTAATGAATAAAAAATTATTGTTTTAGGAAGAAGTATTGGAACTGGTCCTGCTACTTATTTAGCAAGTCAGAGAAAAGTAGGTTGTCTAGGTTTGATTTCTGCTTTTACTTCAGTAAGAGATATTGTATAAGATAAAGTAGGAACTTGTATGAAATATTTAGTAAAAAATATGTTTGAAAATATAAAAATTATAGAAAAAGTAACTTGCCCTATTTTCCTAGTACATGGAAAATAAGATTCTTTAATTTCTTATAATCATTCAGTTTAATTATTTAGTAGATTTTTATTATTTTTGTATAATTATTTTAAAATAAAAAAATAAAAAGAAAAATGTAAAAAAAAATGCGAATTAATTCTTCCAGAAAATATGACTCATAATAATTTAGATTTTAAAGAAGATTTTACGAAACCTTTTTTGAATTTTTTATATAAAAACAATATCTAAATACGAGATAAAAGCTAAAATAATAAAATTGTATTTCCTCCATATATATTTACTAATTATATATAAAATAAATAATGAAAAAAAAAAATAGTATTAAATGTAAATATTTATAAAATAAAAAATTAATCATTCAAAATACTATTTATATAATTAATCAGCAATAGAAATAATTTCGACTACATCCAAATCTTGTATTCTTTATAAACTTTCCATAATATCAGAAAAATCTTATTAAAGGATAACTTCTTTTCTCAAAATAAGAATTGCTAAACAAAGACAATATAAGAAATCTTAAAAGTTACAATGACTTAATAAACTATCCCAAATCCTTACTACATCAAATATTTCAAATTCTTAAGCAAAAATAAGCATTATCCATCTCAAACTATAAAACTAGGGATGTAACTTAATATTTTCTAAAGCTTACCAAATTTAATTATCTATTCTTTACAAAATTAAATTCAATTGTTTTATTTTAGCGAGTATTCCAGTATCGGCTTTATCAAGATATTTAATAAAACAATCTTTACATTCAGCCATTAAAATAGTGAAAGTAAAAAAGCAATCTATTTCTACACTTTATGAAAATATTTAATCATCTTTTTTAAAAGTGTAATATATTACACTTAGTATTTCGTTCATTCCTTATACATATTTAATTCCGTGATTTAATTTCGCATAAATAAATAAAATTCTGGTTAATATATCATATTCGGTTTCTTCACTTATTTATTTTAGTCTATAAGGATTTCTAAAATTTCCTTTGGTCTCTTAACCGACAAAAAAATGCATTTCTGATCGTGTTCGAATCGAGTCTTTTTCTATTTCAAGCCATAGGTCTCTGTCTTTGAAAAATTATTCCCATTCAGGGTATTTTATTTCCATTTGTTCCGTTTTTTATAAATAAAAGTCACTTTCTTCTTGCTCTTTTTAGTCCCATATTTCTTTTACAGGAGTTTCAACATTTGTTATATATTATTCAACGAATTAATTATAATAATTTTTATTTTCTTCGATTGCTTTTTCCCATTGCTATTTTTTTAAAGGTAAATAACCCAAAAGTAATTTCCAACATATCGAACGCAATAATTTACAATCTTCAGGAATTCCCAAAAAACATTAGCTTTGTAACTGTTTTATGTTTATATTATTTTAGCTTAATATTTCTTAGTATATTTATATTTTTTAACGCGCTTTATTTGATATTTTAATTAAATCAAAATTGTTTAATGCATGTAAAGGATATAAATCTAATTCTTTTAACTCTTTAGGTGATTAGATATCTTCGTTTTCTTATTTTTAATTCTTTTAAGAATCTTCTGATTATTATATTACATCTATAACTTATTATTTTATTTGTGTGCCAATAGATTAGCCTAAATTTTTTAAACCATTCATTGCAAATTTTAATTGATTCATAATTTTATAGACGTATATTTATTTATTTATTATACTTACTAACTTTTTTTTTAATTAATATAATTAAAATTTATTTCGAATTTCTTTTATATATTTTTAGATTTGTATAATATTTAAAGATAATATATATTTAGTTTAAATTTTAATATAATAATATATGAATATATATTTAATTTAATTTATTAATAATATATTTTTTTACAAAAAAAAAAAATCACTATATATATATTTCAAATCTATAATTATTAATTTTAATTTAATATTTCTTATGCTATTTTCTGTTTCATATATATAAAAAAAAATTAAAATAAAATAAAATTAATAAATTTAACTGTAAATAAACTGGAATCATTATGTTAAATGAAAAATAAATTGGCTTAAATTACAGGAACTAAAGCTTCTTTTAACTGTTTTAAATCTTCTTAAGTTAAATTATTCATATCTTTTCCACCTAAAAAGAATAATGTATAAAAATAAAAAAAATAGTTAATTACTTGTAATACTTAATAAACTTTAACTAAAATTTCTTTAATGCATTTATTTTTATCTTAAAAAAATTAAATAAAATAAAGATAATATTTTAATATATACTATTCAATAGAAGGTTAATTTAATAAATGATGAGTTAACAATTCTTTAGATTATTAATTTTTCAAAAATGAAAAATCAGTATTTTTTTACATTTAATTAAATTATTATTATTTATGATTTTCATTATACTAATTTTTAGAATTTTTATTTTAAGAATTCCAGCAATTAATTTTAGAAGAAATTTTGTTCCAATTTAATTTTTAAGAATTAGTATTTACTGAAGATTTCTTTAAATACTATTATTTTGATATTCCTTCTTATTTTTAAGAGTTAGTTTTTTATTTTTCTAATTAATTTAAAATTTAAAAATTTTAATTCTCTTGTTTTTTTTATTTAGATTATTATTATTATTATTATTATTATTATTATTATTATTATTATTATTATTGTTATTGTTTATCTATATTTTTTTACAAATCATTTTTTTCATCATCTCTTTTTTTAATTTTTTTAATTATATATATTATTTTTTTATTTATACTTTTCTTTAATGGCTTTTAGTGGATCATATTTTGTCCTTTTTTTAAATTATCTAATTATTGTTTTTTATTTATTTTAATATCTATTGTATTATTTTCATTTTCAATATTTTTATTATTTTGTGTTTAATTCTTTTGTATTTTTTAAGGTTTTACCCTTTCTCCTGTCTTTTTATTTTCAAATTATTATCCGTCTTGATTAATCTATGTATTATTTTTATTTAAGGAACTTCCTACAGGTATATCATCCCAAGTATATTTATAATCTTAAATATTATATTCACTTTATTTTTTTTACTCATTTTCTTATTTTTATATATTTTCTTATTTTAATTCATCTTCTTTTTTTTCTTAATTTTCAATTTTTTATTCTGGTTATTTTGATTAATAAAATTCTTTTTTTATTTCATTTTCTATTTTTATATAAGTATTTTAATCTTTTTGGTTTGTTTTAATTTCCTAATTTTGTTCATTTTCCTTAGTTTTTTATATTTCTGAACTTCCTTAACTTAAAAGTGTTTATTTTAATTATTGTTATATCTAATTTTACATATTATATTCTTATAATATATTTTATTAATTCTAAAATTATTATAAAAGTTATTATTAAATTAAATATTACTGTTATATTTTATTTTATTATAATAAAAAATTATTTCTAATATCAAACTAGTAATTGTTTTAAAGCGAATTTTTTAAATCTTATTATTAAAATAAGTTTGGCAAATTACCATTTTTGGTTGGAGAAAAATAAAAAGATTAAAGTTGTTAATTTTAACTAAAACATTAAGAATTTTAAGAACAATATTGTTTTTCTTTAGAACCAATTTATTAATAGACTCTTAAATCTCCAACTATATTTTAATTTTGTTCTTCTTGAAAATACTTATCTTCATAAATCCATAATCCAGTAATTTACAATTTATGAAAAGTTATACAAAGTTCATTTTATAAAGGTGCTATTTATTTTTATATATCAATATATTAGTTATTTTTCAAAAGCAAATAATTAAGAGATTTTTTTTTTTAAATATAAATATTATTATTTAAAGCATTTTTTACAATTTATCTTCTTTATTCAATAAGAGGTTACATATTTTTTTTTATAAATTAAATTTTTTTTAAATTATTTATTTTTCGAACTCTCCAGCCTAAAACAACAGCCCATAAATATTGATTAAATGTGCTAATTTTTTCCAATATTTTTTTTTTTTTTTTTCTTATTATATAACCGCGATAGTTTCGTTAAATAATTGTTGTACATAAATTTATAAATTTATTGTATTTTTTTATTTCTTCTTATTCAACTATTCTGTTACTTTAGTTATGAATTTCTTCTTTATTTTACTAATTATTAGTTATTAAATTTTTTGAATTTTAATCTGAGAATTATGTGCTTTTATAGAAGTTTTAATTATTCATATTTTTGTTTTTTTTTATTAATTTTTTTTTTTTTCAGTCGTAATAAAATTAAATATTAATATTAATAAAATCATATTTAAATTTTTTTAAATTATAATATTAATTTTTAAAAAATATAGATTAAAACAAATGAAATTAATTAAATAAAACATTTTTTTAAATAGATTAATTTAAATATAAAAAAATATATAGTTTAATATTTATTAGTATTAAGATTATAAAAAAATAATTAAAGATATAACAATATATTTTTTATTTATATAAATATATTTATAAAAAAATAATAGGAAAGGCTAATAGATTATATTTTTTTAGTATATAAATTATTTAGTTTGTATATTTAATATTATAATTATAATTAATTCATATTATAGATTTTTATTAACTTTTACTTAGTAAAAATGTTGAAATATATTTACAATTTATATAAAAAAAAATTATGACAAGTGAAAAATAAACATTTTTTTAAAAAATATAAGCCTAATACATAAGTAATTTTTTATTATAAATTTAGTAATAAGAAGAAATTCCATCTTTGAATATGAAAATTGAATGTAAATTTTAAAAGGATTTAAAAATTTAACAAAAAAAAAAAGATATAATTTAAAAATCTTTATAAAATAAATATTAAATAAATAAAACTAATTTTATAATTAATAATTAAATACTAATTAATTAATTAAAATAAATATGAGTAAAAATTAAAATATATTATTTGTTTTTAATTAATATTCTATTATATTTTTATTAAAATATAATAATTAACAAAATATTTTTATTATAAATAAAATGATTATATATAAATATTTAGTCTATTTTTTAATTAATCAAATTTTTTAGATTTTTTTTCCAAATATTTTTAATATTCTTATAAAAATTTTAATAATATCTAAATAAATTAGCATAGATCCTAAAATATATTCATCAATGTCTATTTACCTTCTATATCCTCCAATAATAAGCTACACATCATAAATTAAATATAAACTATAAGCTACAACTATCAAGAATTAAGTTATAAAATATAGTAATCCATTTCTAAAAATGAACATATTTATAATTCCCAAAATAATTAAGCTAAAGCTTGTAATAAAGATTCCTCCTCCAATCATGGTTAAATCCTTACAGAAAAATATGGAATAAATGCAAAGTCCAATAGTGGCAAAAGCAGTCATGTAAAGAGTTTCATTAACTGACTATAAATCATAAAAGACACATGTAGCTGATAACATGTAGCTCATAAAGAAAGTGAATAAACCTAAAAACAAATAATTGATGGGTACCATTTGTGATAAGCTTCTAATAGATATGAATAATATAAGAATAACTATTATAAATAGAAAAGATAAGAAATACATAAAACTATCCTAGATTAATAAATCTCTAAAACGGGTATTTAGATTGGACAATATTATAAAGGCAGATGTGAATAATAATTAAAACAATAATATAGAAAATACTTTTCTTACAAATCCTAACCTAAGGCTTTTCAAGAGACTTGGAGATCCTTAATCATTAATTTATCTTTTTTTTTATAAAGAATCTATATTAAATTAATTAGGTTTATAATATTTCATTTTTGAATTTCTTTTATAATTCTTTATTTTATTTATAATATTTTTTTAATAT